TAACGCAGCAGTGACAAGGTGAATTGCACGATTTATAGTGTTTACCTATAATAATCAGTTGTGTAAAGACAGAAAATCCATCGAGTTGGTATAAATGGTAAATTTTATTCTTTTATTCTGTTATGCTTCTTCTGGTAGTCCCGTGATGGTTGTTAAGGTTTATTTTATCATGACTGATTAATTATTCTTTTCATAAATCCTTCATTGAAATCTGAATCATTTGGCTTGGTTGTACACTAATGGTCAAAATCTTAAGGTCAATGAAAATGACCAAATTCTATTTCACCTAATTTTGCAGTATTCAAATTAAAAGCTAAAAGAGTTTTTAATTTTAAGTTTTTCTTTTTTTTTAATTTTTCGAATCTCTACGCAAATAAGCGGTTGAGCCTAACAACGGAAAAAACGTATATGTCTGTCTTTATTTTCATTTGACTTACGATTATGCTCAGCAGTATACAGGGTACGTGGGGTAAATTGTCGCCATTTTATATTTTTAATTTCGAGCTTGCATCTCGTTTGTTTTTTATTTTGCCGACTGCACATTATAGTAAGCTCAGTTGGGAACCGTCTGTGAGAAAAAGAGCACCATGACGCAATTCACTCTGCCAGAAATTTGATAAAGGCATGCTGTATTGCTCAGCATCCGTATAAGAAGCTTCAATACGAACATTTCAGAGTGTTTGGATGCCAAGATCATGACAACTCAAAGGATTCAGAAAGAGTTGGATGAGTCTAATTGTAATTACGAAGGTGTTTGGGGTAATCATTAATGATGGTGAAGTTATGTCTCCATTCATTTTCTTACAGGGCCTCAACAGAGAAGGAATTGCTGTTTTGGGTTAAGAGGGTGGCTGCTGGAAGACACTATGTCTGGCAGCAGCACTCTGCACCATGCCACATAAGTAAGAAAAAGCAGTCATGCATGTCAGGCAATTTCTGCGATCACCCATATATCTGGCCACTACACATCCTGCAACCCCCCTCGTGCGAGAGATTAAAAAAAAATTCCTTGTAACAACAAAAATGAACTAAAGGCTAGGATTATGGCGGCATTCACCAACTTAAACAAGGAGACCACCCAGAAGAGTTGTAAGAGATTCCTAAGTCGTCTGGAGGCTGTGGTTGAAATCAATGGTGAATTTATTGAATAAATTTACTCTCTATTATTTCAAGATATTTTTGTGTCAATTTAGTAAATATATCTGTTAAATGGAGATGTCAGTGTTATTTATCTATCGAACCATTCATATATATATATATATATATATATATATATATAGTGCATGTGCGTAACTTGATATGCTTTATGTACAACAAACAGAATATTCAATTATAGAAAGACATATACACATGTATAAACATGCATATATCTATACACACATACATCTATAAACACACACACACACACACACACACACATATATATATATATATGTAAGTACTTTTATTCATTCCCCGAAATATGCTTATAATTGCAACAAGATGAGAATATTACTTTGATGAAGTCCTTTGAATGACTAAATACGTTACCTAAATTCTGACATTCAAATTACCTATCATTAGTCTGGTATATACACTGCATGCCAAATTTTTATCGAGATAACTATTTTTCTAATATTTCAAAAACTGTCCAATCAATTCACACAAAATTTTCAGACAATGTTGGCAATACTGACCTGCGCAGTCACTGAAATTTTCGTACTGATCTACGTAATGTAAACAAACTGGCGCCATATTTGTTATCAGCATTGTGATTTGAGCGTTTAATATGTTTCATGAGAAGATATGATCGTTCGTGCAAGATCGTCGAACATTTATTGCTTATAAACTGTAATTTGGATTTTGCTAATCCGACGCTTCTCTGTAGCTGTATGGTATAGCACATCAAATCGATTGACAGTTCCATATAGGACACAGGTTCGATTCCTGTCGAATAGCGCTTATTTTCTACTAAATTTTCCGAATATTTAAGTCCATAAAAACAGCATTTACTTAAATTTTATCTATTAAAAATAACGTATAAACAATAAATATATTGAATAATTGTTGGACTTAAGCCATTTAATGATGTGTGTGTGCGCGCGTGCGTGCGCGTGTGTACATATATGGGCGCGTAGACGTGTGGTTAGATCGTTTGCTTTCTATCCGTCAGACACATGGTCGATTTGTTAGGAAGGTGACTCCTTGATGTTATCTTTCTGGCTGAAAGGATCCCAGCGTGCGGTACCATGTAAGTGCCTGAAAACCATATCACAGATTATCCCAAGCCGTGTGAGTGAAATTGGGTTGATAGGAGCCAACGTTGGTTGTACTAGCACGAAATAACAAGTCATCGTGACCGAGGGTTTGATCGTATTGGCCTAGTTCAGACTGTTGTTCACGCTAGATAACGCATTCTATCCCCGAAACTGTAACTAAGGCACGCTCATCATCGTTGCAGTACAAACCACACGTGTGTTCTGTGGGTGTTGAAATAACACAGATGTGCCTGAACCGGCTTCTGCAAAAGGGATTGGCTAGCCACCCTCGTCAGATACTAGTGACCAGTCATCAATATATACATCTAATTTATTCCCACTTTAACGTGAGCAGTTTAAGCCAAATATATATTTTATCATTTTGCTGCTGGCGTTAAAAACGCTCATTTGCCCGAGTCGATTTTTGCATATCCTTAAGCATACGTCGTCTGACACGTATTTTTCTGTTTGAAAGTAGAATTCTTAAATCAGAAATCATGAATGAATGAAACTCTTGTCTGGGGGAGGATGGGCGGAGCTAGTCTATGACCAAAGAAAATGAACGCTTCGGCAACTTACTTTTCAATAAAGACCGTCGGGAATTTTTTTATTGTCCGCTGTTGTCATGGATATTAAGACGACGGTATTTTTAGGTGAATAGATTTCACTCGAGAAATATATTAAAAAAAAAAAAAAAACGTGTCGAAATTGTACGATTCCATTGAGGAAGAATATGTCCGAGAGAAAATAAAAGAGAAAACTTAAAAGGAAAAGGAAAAAAAAAATGTGATTGAATAAAATGGATTAAACGAATTGAAATTCGTTTTGGAGCAAAGGCTGAGTTTAAGTGTCAG